TGCTGCTCTTGCTGCTGCTGCAACTGTTGCTGCGGCTGCAACTGCTGCTGCTGCTGCTGCTGCTGCAGCAGCTGCTGCTGCTGCTGCTGCAGCTGTTGCTGCTGCGGCAGATGCTGGGGGAGGGACTGGACATGAAGACAGTGCGGCTGTTGCTGCAACTGCTGCTGTTGCAACTGCTGCTGCTGCCGCTGCTGTTGCTGCTGTTGTACCTGCTGCTGCTGCAACTGCAGCAGCTGCTGCTGCTGTTGCTGCTGCTGCTGCTGCTGCTGCTGCAGTCCTCCTGCGCTGCGGGGCGCTGTCTCGCGGTGGCTCAGCAACACCTGCAAGGTTCGCTGCTGCAGCTGCTGCAGCTGCTGCTGCTGCAGCTGCTGCAGTTGCTGCAGCTGCAGCTGCTGCAGTTGCTGCTGCAGCCCCTGCAGCTGAATTGCTGTTGAAGTGGAAGCACCCGCATGCTGCTGCTGCTGCTGCTGCTGCTGCAGCTGCTGCTGTGGCTGCAGCTGCTGCTGTGGCTGCTGCAGTTGCTGCGGCGGTAGCAAAGCCGCTTGCTGCAGGGCTGCTGCTTGCTGCTGCTGCTGCTGCTGCTGTTGCTGCTGCTGCTGCTGTTGTTGCTGCTGTTGTGCCTGCTGCAGGCGCTGCAGCGGAGGACGAACCGCAACGGCTATCAGCTGTGGCTCAAGCTGCTGCTGCTGCAGTTGCTGCTGCTGCAGTTGCTGCTGCTGCTGCTGCTGTTGCTGCTGCTGCAGTTGCTGCACAGTGAAGGATTCCTGGCGGTCAGAAGAGTCTGCGTTTTGCTGCTGCTGCTGCTGCTGCTGCTGCTGCCATCGCGCGTTTGTGGATTTTTGCAGCTGCTGCTGTTGCTGCCGCACGTTGGCCAAGCACGAGCTGCTGCATATTCTCTGCTGCTGCTGCTGCTGCTGCTGCTGCTGTTGCTGCTGCTGCTGCTGCTGCTGCTGGGGCTGAGGCGGCGGCTTGAGGAGATAGGCGTAGGCAGCAGCAGGCTCATCGCTCATAGATAAGTAACGCAGCAGCAGACGCTGCATGCCCGGCGTCAACTCTGGTAGATCCATGCTGCTGCTGCTGCTGCTGCTGCTGCTGCTGTTGCTGCTGCTGCTGCTGCTGCTGCTGCTGCTGCTGTTGATGCAGCTACTGCTGTTGCTGGTGCTGCTGCGGTGTGCGAGCACAAGCGACATAGTGTGTACTACAGGAATGCTGGTGCTGGCAGCTGTTGCAGCAGCAGCAGCAGCAGCAGCAGCAGCAGCAGAAGCTGCTGCTGCTGCTGCTGCTGCTGCTATCAGCCAGCCTCTGGCTGTGCTGTATTCATTGCTGTTTTGTCTGTCATTTATTTTTTTCTGCTGCTACTTTTTTGCTGCTGCATGCATGCGCTGCTGCTGCTGCTGCTGCTGCTGCGTGCATGCGCAGCCTGTCGGCAGCAGCCCCCCTAGCAGCAGCAGCAGCAGCAGCAGCAGCAGCAGCAGCAACAGCAGCAGCAGCAGCAACTGGTTAAACATATCAAACTAGAATATAAAGATGTTTCATTAAGAGCTCATTTGTGTTGTTTCTTCTCTAACGGAAGGCAGCAGAACCAGCTGCTGCTGCTGCTGCTGCTGCTGCTGCTAGCCGGCTGCTGCAGCTAGGCTTCTGCTGCTGCTGTTGTTGCAGCAGCAGCAGATGGCTCTTCAGCAGCAGCTGCTGCTGCAACACCAACACAACAGCTGCTGTCTGCTGCACAGCCATGGAGGGCCCCAGACACACCCCTGAATACCCGCAGGCAGCAGCAGCAGCAGCAGCAGCAACAGCAGCAGCAGCAGCAGCAACAGCAGCAGCAGCAGCAACAGCAGCAGCATCATCTGCTGACACAAACGTTCTAAAGCCTGAGACAACCGCTGCATCTCCCTCTCCATTTGCTGCAGCAGCAACAGCAGCAGCAGCAGCAGCAGCAACAGCAGCAGCAGCAACAACAGCATCATCATCAACCCATGAAACCGCACCACCACCACCACCACAACCACCCCCACCCCCACCCCCACCCCCACCCC